GCCCGGAAGCGGCCGTGCGCTGCGTGCGGCCACGTGGCTGCGGGGGGCCACCACGTGCTCGGCTGGGTTGCGCGGGATGATCCTGTTTCCGGCCTGGTCCCACGCCTAACTTCCGTCTTGCTCTCCTCTTATGTAGGCAATCGGAGCGTGGCTAGGGTAAGTCCTTCCTCATACAGAAGAGCGTCTCCCGTGTCGAGCTCACCGCGGTCCGATGGCTACGGACGTGCCCCGCACCGTTCTGGCCCTCGGGCCTGGCTGCCACCGAGGAGTAGATGCTCCTTGTCTGTAGGTCTCGCATCCAAGCTGCTTCTAAACCTGGCCGTTTCCGTCTAACCCGCAGCCCTTGCCGTGTATCCACACTTCTCAAACTCGCCTAAGTTCAAGCTCCAATGTCTTGGCAGCTGTAACACGCTGACCCAGGTGGTCTCTGTGATTCCGTTGCCCAGAAATGTTGGTATCCATTTACTTTGTCTCGGATTGCAAGCTCTTTGGGCAAGGCAGAGCTTTGTTGTTTTTCTCGACTGCTTTACACAACAAAACCCCCATCTGCTGCTAGGGTTCTTGGGAAAACTAGAGCTGGAAGGGCCCTTGGGAGCTCACATAACCCAGTGGTTCTCAACTTTATTTGTACCACAACCCATTTGTGAACATTGATGGTCAGTCCTGACCCAGTGCCCCTCACCCTCAGGCCCCTAGTACGTGTGGCAGAGTGGGTGTGCGGGGCACAGAGAGCTAAGGGAAAAGCTACAGTTTCCAATGTTTTTCTCCCTTAAGGGAAAATCCATTTTAAAAAGTTTGTTCGCAACCCTTTAATGTATTCTTGTGACCCACTTTTGGCTTGTCCGTGACCTAGGCCTTGAGAAACACTGATCAAGCCCAACCCCCTTTTTGAGGCAGGAACATCCCAGTCTAAACCATCCCAGGCAAGAGGTCTGTCTAACCTGCACTGTGGTCCACTGACCAAATGTCCACAGCTTTGTTTGGTAATATGTTCCTCATACTTAGAAAATTCTTCCTTGTGTACAACCTACAGCTGCCTTGCTGCAATTTGAACCCATTACTTCTTCATAGATTTCATAGACGTTAGGGCTGGAAGGGACCTTGGAAGATCATCGAGTCCAGCCCCCCGCCCAAAGGGCAGGAAGTCAGCTGGGGTCATAGGATCTTGTCTGGTCCATTACAGATGCAGAGAACCCTAGACTGCAACAGGCAGACAACTCTGTAATGAGACAGGAGTCAGTTTCTCTCTGTTTGCTGTCTCCAAATTAATGCAGTGCATTCAACACAACTGTAATACATTCAGTTGTCTAGTAACCTATTCAATATTACTGAACTTTCTAAATCTTTATTAAACTGAACACATTTAGAACATACACAGCTTCTGTAACAGTAGTAGTTAATAATGCATACTGATTTTTCGTCCTGTTTAAAGTGATTTTATGGGGAAACCCTATGACTGAAATCCGTATTTCATACCACTGACAATATACACCAGCCCAATAGCCCGTTTTTTTACTCCTACATTGATGAACATGCATACCTTTTTTTTTTGGTAAAATGACAACCCCTGGCTTGTACACTATGGAAAAAAAATTGCCTGTGCACTGTAATACTGTTTCAACTGGGGATGCCTGTGTAGAACTAATAGAGGCATCACTACAATTCATTCCAAATTACTGCATTGTTAAGGCAGAAATAATATAGTGTGGCTTTTGGTAATTTCTAGAACTAGTTACAAACACACTTGCTTCTTAGCTGAACTTGCATAGAATAACCCAGTTGGAACAGTTAGAAGTAACAATAAATAGGGTCTACGCATAAATAAAAAAAAAAAAATCACCCAAACATTGCTTCTGGAATGCTTCCTTTTAACATTTAGGTACATTTAAAATGCAAGCCATAGAGAACATGTTTCCACGTGCAAGAAGAATTTAAACATCAATGCAGTGTGACATATAGCCCGAAGAGGAAGAACACCTTAGTTTCCAAGTCAGAACTATTTTATTGTCTGAAGAATAACTTTAGTTAGCCACTGCAGTAGCCATTTTCTAGTTCATGTGGGTACAACAGGCACTAGGCCAAGTTCTGGCCTCAGTTACACTCCAACAACGCGCTACAAACCAGTATTCAGGCCTTGAAGGAGTACTGTACACACCTTTCCATCTGGCATATTTTAGAAATTAACATTTGATCAGATTGACAGGAAACTGAATCCAATGTTTTTCGAAAGACAGTGTAATATTTTCTTTGTTATTAAAATGGGCTTTGACTATATGTGTTATCTTTTTGGTGTGGTATTCTGGCACTTTCCCCTGAGCACATATGGACATTTGTAACCAGTTCTGTGGACTGAAATCAGGCTATAAACATTAGGTAGATAATTAAGTGATAAATTAAGTTTTAGTTCTAATGAGTACTTTCCCTCCATTTTTCAGCAAAGATTAACGTAGTATCTATTCCTCTTCTGCATGAACAGGCCGCATGAAATTGCTACACAATAAAATAGCAAATTAATTTCTTGATCTGTTTCTCGGTATGTTACATCTGATGAATTGACCTCTAGTGATTTTTGCATAGGTTGTTAAAAAAACCCACACATAGGGACAGACATGATCACTTGCAGAGAAAAGCTGCACTTTGTGCCCAAAGAGCTGTTATTTGATTTTTCTGATAAGTACAGAGGAGGTACATAGGAAGGACAGAGTTACTTTAAACAAAATTTTATTCAGTTCTGGCAAAGGAAAAGGTACTGATATAAAATAATCAAGATTGCATTGACTTTCTTAAAATCTGCTAAAGTTAAACTATGTAGGTATGTTTATACAGTCACACAGTAATTTTTAGTAGAACATCTCCTTAACTTGGGCTGCAACAAAAGTTATGTTTCAGAATTGTACAGAAAACACACTACTAACTTCCTGTGTTATACAGAAACCCGCAATAAGTTCATAGCCAAGAGGTACGTTATTTCTCTCCTTTTATACACTGATATTTCCCATGCAGTCAATTATGAAGTGTATGATTAAGTTAAACAGGTTTGTAGTCCAGCTTTGACTCCAGCTTCTTAGAGTCAGCCACTTTCCTTACAGCCTTCATGAAGTCTTCCTGAACTACAAAGTCATGATCAGCACGAATTGCAAACATACCTGCGGAAAAGAATTTGAGAAATTGTGAGATATCTATAGAATTACTGTGACTTGCAACAATAATACACCACATTCTTTCGTTCCTTGGAGATCTCAGAACAACAAGAGTCTCCCTATGCCTGAAGAAGGGTACCTGTGCTGAAAAGCTTGCAAAGAATGTTGTTCCAACTACTCAGTTGGTCTAAGAAAAGATACCACATCTACCGAAGGAACCTTGCCTGCCTAATGCAGAACAGTCATTTAAAAAAGTTATTTGTGCTATGTTATTAACACACAGAAAGGACCGAAGTTATTTTGCATAATCTGTATGTAGATTCACTGAGTAACCAATTGGTGCTCTTCTGCATCCAACTCAAGCATAAGTTTCGAAACAGAACATTTATTCTGGAATAATGTTTCTGCATAGGTGCAATACTGACAGAATACAATTGTAGCAGAATAATTATTCATAACATTAGTTGTAGAACTCCATTTTCCCATGTAGACAAGCCTGAAGAAAGCATGAACACCACGGAGAAGATTCTAAAGAATCACATTTTTGGCATGACTGAAATACCTCTGAGTCATAAAGAAATTAAATACACATTTTCTCTAACCTTTTTTAGACATGTTCCACCTAGTTTCAGGAAACTTCTCTCTATACCTAAACTTCACGGGCACATATGGGTCTCCTATCAGAAGTCTAGACAATACCAAACTACTACTGTTCCAAGTATCAAACATTTTTCTTTTAATAGTACATTTCAAAACACTAAGGACTATCATATTAACCAAGTCTGATAGCTGTAAACATAGGTGGATCGCAAGTTTAACTAGCACTGTCACGTACAAGAATGAACTAGCTTCACATTAGTGAACATGATCACGAAGGAATGTTTTAGGATCTCGTTTGCCTGTAGTGCTAGAATCAAATCAGACAAACAGGTCACGAATGTTTAATATCCGTGCCCAGACTCAGCACATCAAATAGAGAACTAGGAACAGAGACAAACAAGCTAAGAGCCTCTTCCTTACCTGCTTCAGTACAGACATTTCTCAAATCTGCTCCATTAAAGCCATCTGAAAGCTTCACAATTGCTTCATAATCTATTCATGAAAAGTGACAATTAACTAAAATAATGAACTAGATTGTTGTCTATTAAAGTAGAACTTCAACATGAAACAAAAAAGCCTTGAACATTCTACCATAATTTTTAGTGCAAATTAAAAAGTTCTGAGCTAGACTGAATTTCATTTGATTGCTTTTGCTAGCTATGATATTCCCTCCAGGAATATACAAACATAGCTCAGTCAATAATACTCAATGCAGTTAAGTTTAAAAGTTACTAATTTCCAAATACGCAGTTCAAAATTAAATGCAAATATCTACATGAAAGTAATACTATAGCGGAGATTTAGATGTGCCAATTCAAAAACTGGAAGACTATTCACAATAATCAGAACTTACTTGCCCTTGTATATATGCTCTATTAATAATGGGCCACTTTAATACAAGTACCAACCTTTGAGAAATGTTAAGCCTGACATACTAAAGGTAGGTACGATTACAAAGAAGGTGACCCAGTTACAACTCCTGGAATAAATTTCTCAGGTTTGGGGCCTGTACAGTCTCCATTCAACTGAGTTGTAACACAAAGTATCAAGAAATCTGGACCACAGAGCCATTTTTCTTAGTATCTTTTAAGGAATTTAAAACTGAAAAATCCAGTTAAAAAGTCACATTTGTGATGACATTATCTTCTATTGAGGATTTTTATAGACGCTAACTGAAAAAGTATTTTTCTTTTAGTATTAAGAATCTAAAGACTAGTATGTAATACTAAAAAGTCCTCAAACTCATCTCCAATTCAACCCCAAGGTTTTCTACACCTTGTTTCAGCTGTCTTTCATAGATTGCCTTCAATGCAACCACAGAGTGAAACTGAGAAAATACTGGTCTATAATAATGTCAACCACTGGAATTTTGTTGCTTTCACTCTATGCCTGCCTCTTCTAACCATGCCTCCAAATAAAGTTTCTTCTGGTTATTACTACTACATGCATTCATTTGAAGGACTTATAGTGCAACCTAGCTGCAACACAGTAAAGCACAAAAGTGATGGATCTTTCATGTAAAGCCACTTTTCCGTTGCTTTCAACTTTTTCTTTTTGAATGGAACAGGGACAGTCTCACTTGTGTCAGAACTATATATGGATCTGAGAATATATTTTGATGAATGGGAATGTTCACTTACCCCTAAGGTACTTCCTTACACAATGGGGTGGGGGGAGCAGGAAAAATCCTGTCCCGTGTACAATCTAGGGTTTCTCCAAATTGTGGTTTTATTTAAAGTATTATTATACTCCAGATTCTCATATTTTATGAAGTGAGATTCAGTAATAGCTCAATGTGGATCTTCTTAAAACAAAAAAACCTAAGGAGTATTGAGGGGAGGGGTGCAGAAATAGAGGAGGTGGAGAGACATTATAAGGACCTGGAGTAGAAAACAATTTACTTTCTCTCCATTCTTAAAAAAAATGAGCAGTCACACTCAAAGAAAATACTGAAGCAGGTCTGTACTTACCTATTTCACCATGTTTAGTGATAGGACCCGCATGAATCTTCAAAATATCTAATCTGGCCTGTTCATTGGGTAGATCAATATCTTTACGAAAAAAAAAAAAAAAGGGACTTTTTAAATGAATATGGGAAAACAAAAATAATGCACAGAGTCAAACACACATCTGATGACAGAAAACAGCTCAACTCACGGATTTTTCTATCTAGTCTTCCTGGCCGCAGCAATGCAGGATCCAATGTGTCGGGTCTGTTTGTAGCCATGATCATTTTAACTCTGTGTAGAGTGTCAAATCCATCCATTTGATTCAGTAACTGGAGGAAATGGGGATTAAAAAAAATGAGTAGTTTTAAAACTGATGCTTATGCCATATTCTGCACACTTCAGTTTTTATTAGTCATTAGATACAAAAATTTGTATAGAAAGAATAAATCTGAGACAACACTACCAAGCTTCCTGATTGAAGACCACATTCCCCTGTGCATTCTGTAGTCAAAGGTGGGCTTTTGAAAATCATAATGAATGCCTTATCCAATGTACACAAAGCGTGACCAGAGGGAGCAACATGAAAAACTGGAAAAAAGTGAACAATGTAAAGCACTAAAAAAACTGTCTGAAGTTATGCTTTCACTATACTGTACTAAGGATGATGCTTAAATTGTTCGAATAAAAAGCACCTAAAATATTAGCTTGTACCAGAAGGCATTTAATTAAATGGATACGGTTTGCTGTAGTTCTGTTGTGGAAGATGACCACCTTTTATTCTTTGCTGGCAGTGATCTTGTCTTATGTATCAGGCAGAAATATTCACTTAATATGCACTCCTTTACGCAAACTGATCACCACAAAGGCACATCAACAGAATCTATGTAATCAAATATATTAGGTATTGCAGGCTATGTTTGGGGGAGGAAAGGGGTGAAATTCCTTAGTATTTTAAGAGTTAATCGTGTTAATACCCCAAAATGATAATACAATCCATTATCAAAACTTTAGGAGCTTGAACTGAAAGTCTCTATCCACAGAAACAAGTTCTGGGGCCTGCTTTCCCTTGGAAAAGAGAGCTAGTGATCACCAACATCTAGACAAGGTGCATTAACAAATCAACAAGGTCAGCTCATGAAGAACCCAAAGTCAAGTCTTGACAGGTGGAAAGCCTCCCAAGTCACATATGAAGTGGGTTTATATGCAATACATGACAATGCTCTTGGGATCTCAAACAGTTTTAAAGCTGTGTTTTTCAAAGAATTCTCAGTTGATCTTTAACTGAACAGTAACAGTCTCAAGACTCTGGATTATAATATACTGATTTACATATCTAGTATTTATTTAATGCTGACCTTTCGGTTAAAGAAGTAAAAGCAGTTCATCAGTTTACCTCCATCAGAGTTCTCTGAATTTCTCTATCAGCTGAAGTTCCTTCAGAAAAACGACGGCCACCTGTAACATGTTAAGCCTGAAAGTTAACTGCGTGCTCTGTTTTCCTACTGGAAAGTTCATAATGCTTCCAAAGTTAAATATATTTTAGTGCAATTAAATGGCAAATAAAGAGTTTAGTAAAAGTTCGGAAGAATTTGGTCAACATACCCCAGCCAAATACTAACAGGTTTTATTTTAAATTAGTTTTAAAAGCTCCAGAAGCAAATTGAAAGGAGGTACTTCTTCAACTGGGGGGGGGGGG